TACGTGTTGCACATGTGTGCGCATATGTGTGTGCGCGCGCGTCTATCTCCGTGCTTGTGTTGTGCTTTGTGCGCATTCTTTCCTGAACGCGTGTTTATTGTTTTTATGTTCTCATAGCGGTTGTTTCTTCTCTGCTGCTCCGCTGTTACATTGCCCGCAACCACAGGCCTTCTTCGTGACACTCGATGACAGCTCGCCCAGCATGCCGAGCGACCAGATTACGGAGGCAAACGAGATTGCGCTCGCCCTCATCCACGGCAACGGCCACAGCATCTGGTTTGACAAGTCCATGACCTTGATTGTCTTCAAGAACGGCCGCTGCGGTGTCAACTGCGAACACACGTGGTGAGACACTTGGTTGCGCTTGGGTTTGGTTGGTTGTGTGTCATTGGTTGGTTGCTGTTTGGATTGTGTCGGCGGGTTGATTGCGTGGAACTGACGTGAGCATCCTGCACCTCTCTGTCTGTCTCTCTCTATCTCGCTCTTTAAAGCCACCACACCCCAACTAACGCCTTTGTTCCCTTTCTGCACGTCTGTATGTGCGTGCGTGTGCATGTGTGTGTTGTGTTTGGTGCACCAGGGGCGATGCGCCTGTCGCTGCGCACGCGTTTGAGTCTGCACTCGCTCGCGAATTCAACGGCCCAGGGTATGATGCCATTCGACCTGCATGAGTGCTGTGGAGAGAAACATGTCATTTTGCACTCCCTCACTCACTCACTCACTCACACACTCACACACTCACTCACACACACACACTCACTCACTCACTCACTCACTCACTCACTCACTCACTCACTCACTCACTCCCTCACACTCGTACCATCACCGCCACCGCCACACCTGTGTCTCCGCGGCAGCTATGACCAGTCGACGGGCATGAACAAGGCTGTGCCGCAGCGCCGCGTGGATCTCCAGCCGCCGCTGCGTCTGCGGTTCGCGTTTGAGCCCGAGGCCGAGCCCATCCTGCGCCAGTGCGTCGAGAAAGTCGAGGGCGACATTGCCGGTCAGTTTTGCCGTGCGCGTGCGTGTGTGTGTGCAGTCTCTCTCTACCTCTCTCGACCTCTCTACCTTCCTCTCCCCCTCGTTCTCCTCGCTTTCTGTTGTGAAATGTCACCCCCAAGCACCAGCTCATGGCACTGTGCAACCATCTCACCCATCTTCATTCTACGGCCCCCCCCTTCTTCATGTGTGCAAACGCCAGACCTTGACCTGCGCGTGTTTGTGCACGACGCATACAGCAAAGGCTTTATGAAGAAGTGCAAGGTTTCCCCCGACGCCTGGCTGCAAATGGCCCTCCAGCTCGCATACTACCGCGTACGTCGTGCCGTCTGCTGCACTTGCAATTGCTGCTTGAAGTGCTTGTTCAAGGGTTTGCATGGTTCCCTGTGGTTTGCTCCCAATGGTTTGCCCCCTGTCTTCCTGCCAGGTTTGCCCCACACCCGCACCTTCCATGCCATACTCACGCCCATGTGCCTTGCTATCACACCATCCACCACCATCAACAGGATCAGGGAAGGTTTGCCCAGACATACGAAGCCTCCATGACGCGCTTGTTCCGGTGCGTAGCACACGTGCTGCTTGCTGTGCTTTCCTGTCCCCTTGGTCGTTGTCTCTAGCCGCTGTTCTCCCATATGTTTGTTTGTGTGTCATTTAATTGTTCTGGCCACTCGCTGATTCAATCACATTCCATCCTTGCTCACCTGTGCCACCTCCACTAACATAACCACCATCACCACCACCATCATCATAACCATCACCATCACCAGCGATGGCCGGACGGAGACGGTTCGCCCCGTGACGATGGAGAGCGTCGCCTTTGCCCGCGCAATGTGCGACAGCTCAACATCGAAGGAAGAGCGCATCGAACTCCTCCGAAAGTGAGCCACTCGGCCGGTTGAGTGTGTGCGTGCGTGTGTGTGTGTGTTTGTGTTTGTGTGCGTGCGTGCATGTGTGCATGTGTGTGTGTATTATGTGTGTCTGTGCGTGTTTGTGTTTGTTTACACCTGTAAGTCTGTGTGTCTGTGTCTGCCTTTGCGCAACACACGCCCTCCTGTCTCCCCATGTCCATCCCACTCATCCATCCTCACTTTCACTGTTGTCCCCACCCCCACCAGGGCCGCTTCCGTTCATGTGCAGCACTTCAAGGACGCAATGGCCGGCAAGGGGTGCGTGCGCGCGTGTTCGCGCCCTTCGTGTGTGTGTCTGTGTTTGTTTGTTTGTTTGTGTGTGTGTGTGTCTGTGTGTGTCTGTGTGTGAGTGTGTATCTGCCTCCACAACTTTCTTGGTTGTTTGCTTTCTTGTCCACTTGTTTTACATCTTATCTTACCCTCACGCCTCGTGTGTTGTCCTTCCCTAACCACCACCCAACCACCAGCATCGACCGCCACCTGTTTTGCCTGTATGTCGTGTCTGTCTGGCGCGGTACCAAGTCCCCGTTCCTTGAAGAGGTGCTGAGCGAGCCGTGGTACCTCTCCACCAGCCAGACTCCAGTCCAGCAGACGGCCCTCTTCGACCTCAAGAACAACCTCGACAAGGTGCTGTTGTGTTGTGTGTGTGTGTTTGTGTGTGTTTGTGTGTGTTTGTGTGTGTTTGTGTGTGTTTGTGTGTGTTTGTGTGTGTGTGTGTTTGTGTGTGTGTGTGTGTGTGTGTGTATGTGTGTGTGTGTGTGTGTGTGGTTTGGTGGTTACGTGTGTTTGTGCTGTTATTGTGGGCGTTTTGGTGTACGTTACCGTCGTTGCACCTGATGCCTTCCTCGACCCTTCTCTGCACTTCTCCCAAATCTCCCTCTTCTCCCGCACATTGCCAACACCACTGCCCCTCCTCCCCCCGGTCGTAACAGATCAGCGCCGGTGGTGGGTTTGGTCCCGTGACGGACGACGGCTATGGTGTCAGCTACATTGTCTCCAGTGACGGGGTTGTCGGCTTCCACGTTGCCAGCAAGAAGTCCAGCGACAAGACGGTACCGTGGCCGACCATGTGTGTGTGTGTGTATGTGTGTGTGTGTGTGTGTGTTATGTTGTGTTGTGTATCTGTGCGTGTCTATATCTGTCTGTGTGCATCTGTGTACATGTGTTTGAGTTTGTGTGTGTGTGTGTGAGCTTGTGAATCCATCTGTGCACCTATCCATCTCTGTCCGTGTTTCTCTCCGTCTGTGTCTCTCTGCCTTGGTCCTGCATTCATTCACTCTGACACCCCCTGCTCATCGTTCCATAACACTTCCCCCCTCCCTCTCCAATCGCAACCTCTTCCTTGTACCACCAGGACTCGTCACGCTTTGTGAAGAACATTGTTGATGCAATGGCCGACATTCGCCAACTGTTCCTCTAGGCGCTCTCAACTGTCCCCACCCCTCGTGTGTCTCCGTGTGCAAGTGCTGTGCTTTTTGTGTGCGTACGAGCGCTGTGGCACAGTGGGCGTGTTTGAATGGGCTGCTGCGATCACAGGCGTTCCTGTTCACGCGCACTTGTGTGGGTGCTTGCCTTGCGCTACTGTGAGCAGTAGTGCCTGGTCGCGTACGTGACTGAACACTCAGTGTTTGCTTCACACCACACGAACCCGTTCCTTGATCTCTTTGTTTCTTTGCGTTGCGTTGCGTTGTTGCTGTTACACCCTACCATCCAGCTTCCCATATGTGTGTTTTCCTTCTCTCTGTTCGTCTCTCACCGACCGCCAGCCTTGCTTTCTGGCCTTGTGTGTTTCATCCTACTCTTGTGCGTGCCAAGCCCCAATGACACAACCTCCTGAAATCCCACACGAGCGTCCTTGTGTCGTGTCACAACGCATGAGCAGTCACATCATGTCACATCACAGTCACAACACACTTTGGTCGCAGCACACGTGCATCCAAAAAGCCCACAACAAGCCCGTTACATACACTGAATTCAGTTGCATTGACTTGTGGTGAAAGATGTGGTCAAGCGTTCTCCCGCCATTTTTTTGAATTCACGCGACGAGCACAACACGCGAGATGGCAGGCTTCTTCCGTGTCAGCGACAAGCCCGACTGGATGCCAAGCTCCACACTCGCATACAGTGCGGATGGGTCCCACGCTTCAGTGAGTTGCTGGAACCGTTTGCACCCTCCCGTATTACGTGGCTGTAACGAGACAACCTCTCTGCTCATGGCTTAGGGGCTCATGTCAACCTTCCTTGTTCAATCACGCAGTCAAGCCCGGTCATACATCATCACACACAAACACACATACAAACGAACACATACACACACACACATACAAACACACATACGCACACACATACACATGCGCACACACACACACATACACATCCACACACACACACACACACACATACAAACACACGCACACATACAAACACACGCACACACACACACGCACACAAGCACACACACACACACACAAACCTACACACAAACCTACACACACACACACTCTCTCTCTCTTCAACCCACCTCACGCTGCCCCTGTCCTCTCGTCGCCCGCACGCATAACTAGTCACTGCAGCAAGACGAGAAAGAACAGCAGCAGGATGAGCCACGAAAGCTCAACCCAGCTGAGGTACATACGGTCTTAGCTGCAGATTTGTGTGTGCATCTGTATGCATGTACGTGCGTGTGTATGCGCATTTGCGCGTATACTCTTGTCAACACGAGCGATGCAACACAACCATATCTCAAGTCTCACACTTGCTTGTTCTTGTGCCGCCTCCACATAGACGGACGTCTTGCGGCGCTGCTTAGCCTTCTTGGGCTTCCGCCTCCTGATCATTGAGGCAACAAGGAACGCGTTGACCAGCGACGAGAGGAAAGCTTTGGCCAGCAAAGAGAGCGCTGTCTCGCTGGAAGATGTCATTCGCGATGCATCGGGTTGGTGCCTTGTGTCTTGTGCTTCCCTACATGTCATCGACAAGCACATCTTGCCGTGTGCACGTGTTGCCATGTCTTGTGCCGTGCTACATGTCAACGTATGGCAGGTGCGCAGTGTTCGTGCATTGTTGTGCACTGCTTGTCTATTCCAGCGCCCGCTCACGCTGTCCTGCACACGTACGCGCCACGAACCAGAATCGGACGAGGCCTTTGCTGCCCGCTACCCTGAGGGCGTCAATTTCAAGCGGGTGGACCTCCAGCAGCAGTTTAAGCGCATTCCGTATCGCGTACATAAGGTCATTGGTATGATCCCGGATGATCTGAAACGGAAGCTTGAGGCAGCCATCAGCAGCTTTGATGAAGCGACTGTTGAGGCCGCGTTGAGGAGGGTTGGTGCCATGTGTGCAGCCCCAACGATTGACAGCAACCTCAAGCAGCAGCGCGCAGGTATGATGGCCGCAGCAACACGACACACGCACATGCACATTCTTGAACAAGTTGGAACACAGACACGCGAGTGCTTGCTGACGTGTGTACCTGCATTGCACACACATTGGCACACATTTAATGGCCGCAGCAACACGACACACGCACATGCACATTCTTGAACAAGTTGGAACACAGACACGCGAGTGCTTGCTGACGTGTGTACCTGCGTTGCACACACATTGGCACACATTTAGACACACCCTTGACCTGACACACACACACACACCCTTACCTTGACATACATACACACACATACACACCCTTACCTTTATATACATACACCCTTACCCTTACATACATACACACACATACACACACCCTTACATACACATCCACGCACACGTGCAGACCTGTGGCGGCCGCTTCCGCCAAGCGTGGTGGGGAAGATTGCCAGAGACATGGCAGCGCCCCGCAGCCAGGCTTCAACCTCATCGTCCCGGTCTTCGAGCTGTAAGTTTGAAATCACGGATGAGGAGAGGACGATTGTCATGAACGACCGGATGTTTGGCGAAGTGGATGCACGCGTGTTCCGTGCCACGAAGCGGATCAAGGACGAGTTGACCGCCAGCATCGCCTCCTGCACCGAAAGTACGTTTGCTACTCTGTGCTTGTACTGCACCACACAAGGTGGTTGTGTTTGTGTTGGCTCACGTGCGTATGTGTAAATGTGCACTAGGAAGGTGTGTGTGTGTGGAGGGGAAGGGCTTTCATGTGCCACCTTCTTGAATTCCGAAGCTTATCGTGTTCTGCACTGTCATCTGATCAGCATGGCCCAGGCTGGATACGGACTACGAAAGCCTCTTCCTGACGGAATTCAGCCACTACCTGCAGCGCTACTGCGGTCAGCGCGAGTGGACACGCACTCTGCACTTCTTCACGCAGGCGCCATTCAAAGACAATCCAGCTTATGCCGTGGACCTGTGCGTGACCAATGGCAGCGGAGACCCTTATGTCTTCAATCTCATCTTCGAGGTAACAGCACTCTCGCACACCCACACACACGCACACCCACACACACGCACACACACACACACACACACACACACACACACACACACACACACACACACACACACACACACACACACACACACACACACACACACACACACACACATGCACACCCGCTGTCATTACACCCGCACACACTGCACAACGCACTCACACGACGTGTCATGCTTCCTTCCCATCACTCACATACATACTGTCACGATGCATGTTGTTCTCGATTCAGATCAAGAAATGTGGCCTCCCGCTTGACGAATTGGAGGCCATGACTCAGCTTGACGAGTGTGCAGCCCATGCAATGAAGGCGCTCCCACGCCGCGTTGTTGGGCTGCCCTTCCCCTTTGGCATCACCGTCACTGGCTACACCGTCAGTGTCTTCGCATATGTCTTGACCCACGACGACCAGGACCTGGAAAAGGTAACAGCGTTGTGTGCTGTGTTCCTTCATCGCATGTGCGTGTGTGTGTTTGTGTGCACGTGCGTGTGTGTGCACGTACTTACGTGTATCTCAGAGAGAGAGAGAGAGTGTGTGTGTGTGTGTGTCAATGCTTGATTTGAGTTTCATGTGTGTCAGCTTTCTTCACTTCTCACCCTGTTGTGCGCTGTTTGTGTACGACACACGATGTGCGCGCGTGTGTACGTGTGTGAATGCCTTCAGATTTATCGCATCCCGCTTCTCAAAGACGCGGAGGTGTGAACATATGCATGCGTTTGCGTTTGCTTGCGTATTTGCATGCGTGTTTGCATGACGTATTTTGGAGCAACCACATTGCTCTTTCATCCCCCGCTTGCCACATGCTCCTGCGTCTTGCCACATGCTCCTGCGTCTTGCTGCGTTCTCTGTCTGTCTGTCTCTCTCTCTGTCTCTCTCTCTGTCTCTCTGTCTCTGTCTCTGTCTCTGTCTCTCTCTCTCGCTCTCTCTCGCGCGCGCGTGTGGGTGTGTGCCTATGGCTTGGTCTTGCTGTTGATTGTGTCTCCCCTTGACTCATGCATGTGCGTGCCACATGCTGTTGCGCTGCCACGGGTTGCACTGCCAGATTGAGACCATGCCGGCCATCCTCGACGTCCTGCTGAGCAAGGAGCGCATCGCCTATTTCCAGGCCCTGTCCCGCCACATGGACGGCGAGAGCTCCGACAACGCCAGCGACGACGGCGACGCCACGCATCAGTTGGCACCGCTGCATCTGGACGATGGCGCGGACGCGTATGCGTGCCCACCGCTGTACGGCGTTGCGAAGAAGGACTGGCCGTGCGAGGATCGCGCTCTAGCCGAGCATCGTCTGTTCGTCACCGGATTCTACGCGCCGCTGCCCAACGTGCGCATCTTCAACAACCGCGTGCTGAAGGAGGTGCCAGAACGCGATGCAGACAACATCCTGAACGCCTGGAAGACTGCCCATCCAGGGTGCGATGTAGCGGGTACGGTGCGCGTGTCGCAGTCCGAGCATTATTACTTCTGTGACACGTCCCGACGGAAGCGCGTACTCGAGCTTCCATTCTTGGGCAGCATGTGGGTGGACCAGCGGCCAACGCGGATTGAGCAGATTGACGAGCCTGTGCAACAGCTGCTGCGCCTGCTGCGCGCCGGGCTGTGCCACACGGATGTCCGGTGTGAGAACCTGACGATTGGTCCGGATGGGCGCACCAGCATCATCGACTTTGACATGTGCCAGGAGCTGGGCACGGATCTGCCCTCCGGCCTCATCACGGAATACCTGGAGCGGCCAGCGCGCGTGTTTGACCGCATGCGCAGGCTCAAGCGAGAGGCAGGCGATGATTTCGAGTCCCTTATCCTCTCGTGGGCACGAGCACGCTCCACGGGCCCAAGCATGTTTAGTGGCCGAGAGTTTGCTCAGCAGGTTTTCTGTGCGCGGGAGCGTGTTGTTGGGCTGCTGACGAAGGAGCGGGGCCGGCTGTTGGCGGAGGGGGCCGACGACGCGATTGTGCAACGTGTCGACGCCGCCATTCACAGGTGCGAGAGGGCCACCCTGTTTGCCTGATGGTCGCACTGAACGGTGATGTTTGATGGTGATTGATGGCGGTAGTGGTGATGGTGGTGACTTATGATGTGATTTGTTGATGGTGGCGGTATTTGTTTGTGGTGAATGATGTGATTTATCGATGGTGGCTGCTGATGGTGGTTGTGAATGATGATGCTACTTCTTAATGAGGGTCTTACGCTGATTGCTATTCGTATTCAATGATGTTTATGTCTGAACGTGACTGACAATAAACGTCGACGAGCTGCTCGCACAATCACACACGCACACACACACACACACACATTCGCACACACACACACACACACACGCCAACATATGCTCATCACCACGGAGTCAAGTGTATTGTAAGTAAGGGCATTATTGCTGCACAGACAGTCAGATGGACACAGGCACACACACACACACACACTCACACACACACACACACACACACAACACAAGCACAACACAGCCCACAAAGGCACACCACATTCCTGTGCAAGCTTCTCGCACCTCGGCGAAGATACAGAGGCACAGAAGCACAGAGAGAACAAGGGAGACAAAGCCATGCAGCACGTGCGACTGTCGGAACGAAACACGAGCGAAACCAACTGCAGGAAGGGACAGTGATAGATTCGTAACGACAACAGCAGCATCTGTCGGTCACATCAGCGAGTTGGAAGAACGGCAACCAGCAACAGGTGTGTGTGTGTGTGTGTGTTTCCGAGAGGGATAGACAAATGGAGCATGGCTCCGTAACAGGGGAAAAGAAGGAGGGGAGGGAAGGGTATCAGTTATGAAACACAAAAACACACGCATACGCACACATGGACACACACACATATCCACAAACAGAGGAAAATGAGCCAGCTTAACGAGCGAGGCAACCGCAACCACAATGGTCGCACAGTCACAACATCCTCACACGGGACGGGGGAGAACAACAATCACGACAACTGCAGTTAGAGGAAGGCATCTGGGTTGCGGGTGATGGTGGATGAGTGCGACCGTCCCCTCTCTGTGGCATCATCGTGTCCACTGCGCACGGATCCACGCCGCGACTCATTCAAATCCTCCGTGCTTGCACTCCGCGCCGGTTGTCGCTGCTGGTGCTGGTGCTGGTGCTGGTCTTCGTCCTCGCCCTCCTGTTCCTCTGAGATGGCAGACACCGCGAGCTGGCCCATCGAGTTTGGCTTCCACCGCCCGCCGTTACCGCCACCGCCACCGCTGGCGATGCTGACAGCCCCGCTGCTGATGTTGCTGCCTGCGCTGTTGCCGCGCCCCGCGCTGCGCTCGCGCGACGTGCTGCGCTCGCTGCCAAACAGCGAATTCCACAGCCGCCGCAGGGTGCCCTGGCCGCCGCGGGAGGCGCGATCGCCCCGGTCCGACTGCGGGCTGCTGGACGGCGGGGAGACGTTGGAGGCGCGGCTGCGGGAGCGCGAGCGGATGAGCGGGGACGTGTGCCCAAAGGAGGACCGCCGACTGACGGCAATCATGTCCGGTGACACAAATCCGGCCTCTGTTGCGTAGCCGTCGTTGAGGTAAGTTGAGGTGGGGGGGGTTAAGATGGAGGTGAGTTGTGTGTGTGTGTGTGTGTGTGTGTGTGTGTGTGTGTGTGTGTGTGTGTGTGTGTGTGTGTGTGTGTGTGTGTGTGTGTGTGCGTGTGCGTGTGCGTGTGTGTGTGTGTGTGTGTGTGTGTGCCAGTACTGTTTCATGCCAGACGTGTGAGAAGTACACACATCGCATATCCCTAGCAAACAATCCTTCAGCAACATGTGGCTTGCAAGCACTGACCATCCACGTCGCCCTGGTCGCTGAGCGGCGTGTCCTCGTACATCGCCTCAAGATACGGGAACACCGTGGATGCTGGTCGCGCAAACATCATGGGGTGGGGGCGGGGGTTGTGCGTGGCGGTGTTTTGGTATGAGGGCGAAGAAGTACGAATTGCAACAAAACGGCAAGCATTGCACAAGTGCAACAAAGTATAATGAGGATAGCCACATGGAATTACGCGTTGCGACAACACAGGCAGCAGGTACGCGCACACACACACATGTGTGTGTGTGTGTGTGTGTGTGTGTGTGTGTGTGTGTGTGTGTGTGTGTGTGTGTGTGTGTGTGTGTGTGTGTGGGCACAGCACATCGTGTTGGTGCGAACTGACCCTTTGCGACGAGTTCGACGGGATCTGCATCGCGCTGGAGTTCACAGCGGCACCAGCTGGCGGTGGCGGCAATGGAGGAGAGAGGGACAGAGAGAGAGAGAGGGTGGGCTGGTGTTGGGGGATGGTGCATACTGCAACGACAATTGTATCCATCACGCAGATTTACATGATAACACACAGCCAAACAGACAGACACACAAGAACCACGACGTACGGGTGCTCTTGCAGGTCCCAGACGGTGGCGCGATGTTTCGGGTCGCGTGTGAGTGTTCGCGCGATGAAGTTGCGTAATGACGGCGGCAGGTGGTCCGGCATTGTGTACTCGCCTGTGAACACCAACATGGCAGTATGTGTGTGTGTGTGTGTGTGTGTGCGTGCGTGCGTTACGTGCGTGTGTGTGTGTGTGTGTGTGTGTGTGTGTGTGTGTGTGTGTGTGTGTGTGTGTGTGTGTGTGTGTGTGTGTGTGTGGCAATGAAGCAGCCATTCATTCGGCACAAACGCATGCGCACACCCAGGAGTAGGCGCAGGTGTGCGCGTACATTTTGCGATGGACGTGAACAGGTCAATGACGTTGTCGTCGAAGAACGGATATGACCCTGTCACCATGTTCCACAGCGTCACCCCAATTGCCCACACATCCACTTTCACGCCTACACACATGTAAATGCATCGGTGTGTTTGTGTGTGTAAGTGTATGTGTGTGTGTATGTGTGTGTGTGTATGTGTATGTGTGTGTGTGTGAAGGACACGTGGCAGTCAAAGGACAGAACCAATGCAGACGACGACCCTTTCCCGTATACGCTCAAACGTGCGCGCAATGCGGGTGCCTGCAAGCATGACATCGCCACGCATCGCACCATCGAATGTGGTTGCGCCGGCTGCCAATTCCGGCGACTGAAAGACGTGTGTGCCAGAGCTGCGCGTGCACTCATATCCATCCGTGAACCTGCCAGGAAACAGATTGCAGCATGTTGAAGATGATCCAATGTTGTGGTAGCAAGCAACGTCATGGTAACATGGTGATGAGGTCATGCACACAGCACCTGACTCACACATAAAACATGCACGCACATAAAACACACGTCCCAAACTCATGCATTGCCTGCACGCACATGTCAAGGAGATCAGCGACACCGAAATCGCTCAACTTCAAGCGATGCCCGCTTTTAACTGGACGCGACCAAGTGGTGATGGTCACAATGTATGTATTTGCGGTTGTATATGTGTGCGTGCATGCGTGTGTGCATGCGTGTGTTTGCGGTTGTATATGTGTGTGTATGTGTGATGATATGTAAGAGGTTGAGGTGGTATCAAGAAAAAGCACGTGCATAGCGAGAGGTGGGGCAACAGAACCAGAAATGCTGCGCAGCACAACAACGAGCACACAATGCGTGGACGCACTCAGAATGTTGCTTGGCTTGATGTCCCGGTGAATCACGCCCTGTGTATGAGCACATGTGTACACGCACACATGTTGGCAGATACAAATCAAGTGAGATGAGTCAAGAGCCAACACAGCGGCATCATCACATGAGCATGTCATCCGTGATGACACACACACACACACGCACACACACACACACACACACACACCTGTGAGTGGATGTAAGCTGTGGCGTCAAGTAATTGCACGAGGTAGTGCTGCGCCTGTGGCGGCAAGTAATTGGATGCACGCACAGGGTCGGGGTGAGCAGCGAGTAAAGCAGTGCGAGGAAAGAAACTCTTGAATTGACGGCACATGTGTCTTGATGACAAATTGATCAATCCGAACCCAACGCAACCGCGCATCACAACACTAATCATCATCATCATCATCATCATCATCGTCGTCGTCGTCGTCGTCATCATCATCAGAACTGACCTGCCAGAGCGGAAGGCGTTCCTGCGGCGCGGCCTTGAGCATATCCTGCAAATTGCTGTGACAATACTCCAGCACCTGTCAAAGGGGCGCGTGTGATGAGAGGGGGGGGGGAGGGATTGTGTGTGCGTGAGTGCAATGAAGGCGGGAGTGCAACAGTAAGCACCGAAGAGGCGGCAGAAAGGCCTGTGCATGAAAACCCAAGGGGCAGCCATTGCTGGTGTCGAAGCATACTGTCTGTTGACATACACATATGCGGCACGTGCGAGTGTGTGCGTACCATGTAGATCTTCTCCTTTGCGTGGTTGTACAGCACGTCGTGCAGGCGTGTCACGTTGGGATGGTTCAGCTTGCGCAGAATTTGAATTTCGCGGCGCACATTTTCCTGCCCGTACATGATCTTGCGAATGCGGCGGTTCTGTGTGCATGTGTGTGTGCGCATGTGTGTGTGTGTGTGTGTGTGTGTGAATGTGTGTGTTCAGCTGCACCCCCAATGTTATCCAATCCTCAACAGCAACACCGCCACACCTCTTCCCCCCCACACACACACATTTAGAACCTCCTCCTCCCAAGCCCCACCTTCATGATCTTGACGGCGTATCGTTGGAGGGTGATGATATCGAGCGCTTCCTTGACCTTCCCATATGCGCCGTCGCCAAGCCGGTCCCCAAACAGATACCGCCCAATCACTTTCACGCTCTGCACACCATGGTGGGGGTGGCGTGGGAGAGGAGGTGAGTTGGAGCAATGTGGGCTGTGAGGGACGTTTCTGACCAACGGAACAAACATTCGCACACACACACACAAACACACAGACACAGACACACAGACACACACACAGACACACAGACACACAGACACACAGACACACAGACACACACACACACACAGACACACAGACACACACACACACACACACACACACACACACACACACGGGGACCGGCTCCTGTGTGTAGACTATTTCCTCCTCGGGGACAAACAAGAGCAATCCGTCTTCGCTGATGACATCCCACAACGCTGCGCCATATCCGCTATCC